AACAAGGATCAAGCCTCTTAGACTCTTATTCCTTGTCCTGGCTGTGCTCCAGAGAGACGTCCCGCTCCTCGACGGTGTTTGGCTCGAGTGCTTGCGCGGGATTGCGTATCGGGAGATCGGTGAGTCGGGGCATGGGAGGGTGGGAGGACTGTGTCGTAGTGCCAGTGGCAGTGCGCGCCATTCCCGGGAAAGAAAAAGAAACAGACAACATGTGGTATAGACGGCCGACGTGTGGAGAGCCGCGGCTCTGGTGTCTGGAACGAGGAACGACCACGATAATCCACGTCACACCACGCCACAGGGCCAGCTGGAGGGGGCCGCCCGCCCGGGGCTCCACACACACCAGGTGTTGCGGCCGCCCGTACCCTAACCGCCACCATACCCGCCCCCGCGCCCTCCGCCACCGCCTCCACCCCCGCCGCCCCCGGCGTGGCCGTCACCGTACGGACCCGCACGGAACCTGGGGAACCCGGAGCCGCCCCGCCCCGGGAGGCTGGAGTACCCGGGGGAGGGGGCTCTGGGGGCAGGGCTGATGCATTAACGTTAACACGCCTCAGGGGCAGCTCTGACTACAGATCGTGTCAACACTTGGCGCAAAGGTCGGTGTTAACACAGTTGAACGGCAGTCCCAAAACAAGCGTTAACACAGCCGTTAACACGGTGTTGACACACGCTCCGGGTAAAACCCGGGTATACCTGCAAAAAACCGGGTATACCCGAGAAATACTCTGGGTCCGCCTCAATGCCGCGCGCGCCCTACTCCCAGGGCCCCTGCGCCAACTGCGGCGGTACTGATCTGTCTGCTCAATACGCACACTGGACCATGTACTGCCCACGCGTGGAAGAAGGCGGCTGTGACGCAGCGCCGGCCTGCCTCCTGCCCAGGCGCAGGCGTCGGCGACACAGCTCCGGCTGTCGAGCTGACCCGCACTTCCTCTCAGACTCTCTGGGAACTGTGACAAAAGCTGACTGAGAGGATTGTCAGGAATCATCACACGAATCGCACGGTGTCTCACTTGACCAGATACACTTGCCCGACCGGTCCTGGACGCACTGCCCAATGGTGTCGCTCATTTCGATAGCCGCCGGCACCGGGTCAAAGACAAGGTGGAACCACAGTGCGTCTCGAGCGTATGCTCACCCGCTCTTTGAATCTATGTTTTAGCTCTGGCCTCACAACCACTAGCCATCCAGGACCGCAGGAGGTCATGGATTTTGACGGCAGTGCCCATGCGTGCAACCGCAACTTGGCCACTGCAGTGCACACCCTCACCCAACCTCTCTCTAGTACAGCAGACGACATCGAGACGTATCAACACCTCCCTAGGGGCGGTGTTAACACGTTTTAACACCTCTACGGCTGTGGTGTTAACCGTTAACGTGTGAACACCGTGTTAACGTTAATGCATCAGCCCTGTCTGGGGGAGGGGAGGTGCCGCAAGATGACAGCGGGTCCGCTGGCGAACCGGAAGTCCGAGACCGGAGGGCTCCAGGTGGGGCTTGGAGTCAGCTATCGGAGGAGGCGAGAGACGGAGCTGACTCGGCCTCTGCGAGTGGAGTCGGGGGCATACGGACAAACGGACTCACCAGGGGTAGACCCGTCGCGGCGGCGGCCGGACCATTGTGAACCACGACGAGGAGAGCCGCGACCACCCGAACTCGACGAGGAGTCGGCGGAAGGAGTGGGCGAGCCGAGTACAATAGAGAGGCCACGGATGCGGGCGCGATTTGTCGACCAGGGAGAGCTGGCCCGACCTCCGACCCGGGGAGGTGAGGCGACACGACCCCCAATGCCGCCGCCCTCGCCCGGGGAGTCGGGCACGGGATCGCCGGAGGCGGAGTCAAAACAGGATCAGGCAGAGAAGACGAGACGGCGGCGGGGCCGCGGCAGCGCCACCAATGTCCTCTCCCCGGACTTTCCCTAGGACTTTCCCGGCTACAAGAGCGGAAAGTCGGCTGCGGGGGCTCTTGGCGGCGGAGGAGGCGACGTCAATCTCTTCAACCCCACCTTCTCGAGCCACTGCGTTGCGCCTACCTTCCCGTCCCCAAAGCCCGGATCCCTGACCTACAACCTCACGCAAGGCGCCAGGACGTACTCCACGTCCGGCCCCCTTTCATTTACATGACTGGCTACGACGGAGGCACGTTTGGGTACTCGAACAAGGAGATCATCACACATGGAGTGGGGCATGCCGTGCCGCAATGGCCGTGTGGTCAACGACACAGACAAGCCGTGCTCGCCTTACAACTACAACACGGGCGAATGATCCGACTTCAATCATCAGGGTGCCGAAAAATGCCTTCAGTGGCCACAGCCCACACCTTCCGCCTCATCCTACGTGGAACGCCACGGTCCTGTGCTCGTTACCAGGATGGCATGTGCGCGCTCGGCGCGGGGGCTCGGATGCGTGTACACGCGTCTCGAGAACGCGTTGGCTCGCAAAGAGCGCTCAAACGGGAAATGCAACGGACGATAAATCGGTGCCATGACTGTATCCATGACGTGGGAAGCCACGAGAGTTCGGCGCGGGATCGGGAGCTTCCATCGCTTCCGGGTTCGCGTCAAACCAATCTGGTTAGGGAGCGGGGCTTGCCTATGGCGGGGGCGGGCGTGTGCACGGAGCTAAGTGCCTCACCGCCCTCGCGGGAGTGTACCTGTGTTAGTGCCAGTGCACGCCAGTCCCGAGCCCCGTGTTGTGCGAGGGAGCTTTGTCGTAAAATTCGGTTTACCACGGTCCTGTGCTCGTTACCAGGATCCGAGGATGGCATGTGCGCGCTGGCTCGGCGCGGGCTCGGATGCGTGTACACGCGTCTCGGCGCACTCCGGTTCACATAATGGAGAACGAGGCTTTTGTTGTCGTTTGTTTGGAAACGTGAAACGAGAGTGGCAGCCACCCGCCCAGCGCCCTCACGCTGGCCCTCAGAGCTCGGTCACGTGACACGTGTGCTGACTGCTGTGCCTGTGGCTTCAGACTTGTGAAGACGCCTTTTTGTCGGGCGCATCACACAAGCTAGCACAAGAAAGGCCCTGCTGGGCCTCGCCCCGCCCGGGTCGCCCGTAACCTAACTAAGCACAGTGCGCATATAGCTGCTGATCCCTCGGTTTCTTCTCCCAGGGTCCCCGCCCCCCCTTCTTGTTTTCTGTTCTCTGTTTTTCAAACAAAACGCCCGCCCGCCCGCCACCCCGACCGAGGCGGCTCGGCGCTCGGCGGCCCCCCCACTGACTGACCGAGAGATCAAAACACGACACGGCCCTATGGGCGACATCGGACATGTGCAGCCACTGACGGCACTCTCCTCGCGCAAGGACCACTCTTCTGACTCCCACTCCGATCATATGCCGCCAAGTTCTGACTAGGTTCACGGCCTGGCGAGGTACTCCCACGCCTCTCGGGGTTTTTGTCTGGCCGAGTCAACCCGAGATTGCTGGGGCGAGCCTCGGCGAGACTGCGTCAGCTGTTCCCACAGCAGGCTGGAAGTACCTCGCCAGTTCACGGCTCACGTGTATCGTAAGCCACACTCAACCCGTCCGAGCTGCGACGGGCACTCTGTCGGCGGGCAGCCGCACCGCCTCCCCCCTTCCGCCGTGCTCCTCATGACGCGAGCGGCGGCGGCACTCTGCCTGGCAATCTGCGCCGGGGCGGACGCGTATGAAAGGATAATCCCCACCGACCAGGCTCACGCCGACATTGTGGGGCAGACAAACTACCAAGGCGGCCAGTCTTGCCGCTCCCTGCCCACCGTCATCGGCACGGCTTCCGAGAAGGAGCTGAGCGAGGTGATGCGTCGCACACACTCGATCCGGGCAGTGGGCACCGGCGCCAATTGGAACATCAACAACATGGCCTGCGCCGCAGCGGGAGGCTTCAGCCTGGTCACCGCGGCGATGTGCGAGGTGGACGAGCTCACGGGCGCTCTGCCATTCTACCTGGCGCCCGCCGAGGGGACGGCGACTGCGACGGCGGCGACCCCGGACATCAAGGTCGACGAGGCCAAGGGCGTTGTGACGGTCAAGACCTGTGTCACCGTGCAGGCTCTCAACGAGTACCTCGCCGCGTACCGGACAGAGGCGTCGCCGACGGGCTACATGCTGCCGGAGCCAGGCACGATCTATGCGGGGCAGACGGTGGGCGGCGCCGTGGCCACCGCGACGCACGCGCACTCGCTCGTGGAAGGGAGCTGGTCCGCCAAGGTCCTGGAGGCGCGCCTCATGACGGCGGACGGCGAGGTCATCGAGGGGGTGTCGGAGGCGACCCGGCCGCTGCTGTGGCGCGCGCTCAAGACGTCGGGTGGGCGGCTGGGCGTGCTGCTCGACGTGACGGTGCGAATCGTCAAGCACCGCATGATCAAGGTGAGCTATGGCGACGAGCTGAGCGCAAGCGACTTCATTATCGACGTCAAGCAGACCGCGATGCACGTGGCGCAGGCGGTGGAGCTACGCACGGAGAAG